ATGTATATATGTGTGTGTATGTATATGTATGTGTGTGTATATACGTGTGTGTGTGTGTGTGTGTGTATATATATAATTTTTTTTTTTTAAGTAGGCTTTACACCCAGTGCAGAGCCCAATGTGGGGCTTGAACTCATGACCCTGAGATCAAGACCTGAGCTGAGATCAAGGGCCAGATGTTTAACCAGCTGAGCCACCCAGATGCCCCATAACAAATATATTTTAAGCAGTCATTACCTATATCCCACCCTATGCTAAAAAATGGGGCACCTGAGTGGCTCAGTTGGTTAAGCATCTGACTCTTAATTTTGGCGCAGGTCATGATCTTGCACTTCGTGAGATCATGCCCCCAGTTGGGTTCTGCACTGACAGCACAGAGCCTCCTTGGGATTCTCTTTCTCCCTCTCTCTCTGCTCCTTCCTCCCCGCCCACGTGAGCACATGTGCTCTCTCAAAATAATAAACTTATATATAAAAAAAGATCTCTTGGTGTATTTAACACAGAAATGCTGGTAATATTATTACTTCAGTGAGGCAAGCATTTGAATTTCAGGCCAAGTTATAGAATAAGATGGGTACGAAATGTTTCCCTGGGTTTGAGAGCCTGAACACTTACAAGAAATGTATTCTAGTGGCTCCTGGGTGGCTCAGTCAGTTGAGCATCCAACTCTTGGTTTTAGCTCAGGTCATGATCTCACGGTTTATGAGTTCGAGCCCCATGTTGGGCTCTGTGCTCACAGAGCAGAGCCTGCTTGTTCTCTCCCTGTCCTTCTTCTGCTCTCTGTCAATATAAACAAACTTAAAAAGAAACGTATCCTAAACCTGACTTAAAAGAGAGAAGGTTCATGCTTACTAGCCATACATTTCCGGAAACTTTTCTAATTGGGAGCTCTGTAATACATTTTGAATGGTGCCATGTTTAAAAAACACTTATCCTTGAAAATATTAGAATGCTTTTTGAAAATCTATTATTCTTTTAAACTATTCTGATCTAAAGAAAGAACTGAAGTTTAGGAAAGGGGAAAATGAACATAAAAAAAATGTTTATTTCTAGCCCTGAAAGAACAAAATTATTGAACAAAGTCATCAAATACAGCAGTTAATGTCAATGTAACAATTAAATAATTGAACGGGATTAAATTAAAAATAAAAGTCAATATAAAATTTGAAGACAAAACAGAAAAGACAAGCTACTTTCACTGAATTCCATTTCTATCTATCAAAATAAGGGGTGGGGGGAAAGGCAACACATTCCTATCAAAGACATCCAATTCCAAATATAATCCTTTGCTTTTCTTAATACAGAACGAAAATTTGACAGAATTATACATTTCTTTCTCCCTTTCATTTGGCAACATTCCAGAATGGTGAGTAAAAGGACTTCAACTCTCTCCAGGCCAGTCCAGTGCTTGATTCTCCTTTGTAATTCCCACAATATATACCACAGTGTCTTTGCCAAAGTGGTCAGTAAATGTGTTGAGTGATTAAAAAAAAAAAAAAAAAAAGTACGTGTGTGTGTGTGTGTGTTTTCTCACACACACACACACACACACACACATACATACACTGAGGGAAAACGAATTTTAATTGTTTAGCTTATCTATTGTGGAAGCAATGGAAACACCGAAGACAATCTTCACTTTACTTAACTATGAAATTCTACTATAAAAAACCCAAAAGGAATATGAATCTGGATTTTAGCTATAATTCTATAATGATTTTTTTGACATTTCACTGGATATGGATCTCATTATATTTAAAGTTTTTAAATTAAGAAAACTGATGCAAATTCTCATTTTTTTCTAACTATACCTACAGCCCAATCAGATCTAAAATTGTTCTGGCTAGAATACAGCATATAGAAACAGACATGTATTTATGTGAGCCCTATAAAGAAATACTCATATAGGTAGTTTTAAATTGCTTATGAAAGGCACAGTTTCATTTAGGACTGGTGGTAACTCGATACATATTATTAAGCAGCTTAATGTTTATGTGTGGAAGGGAAGAGAATTTATTCTATGTGCCAGGCACTCAACACACGAAGACAGTTGTGTTAGCTTTGGTTTCTTACGCTATCACAACCACTTTGTTTAAAAAATTCAATATTTTCATGGTTTCCCGGTTTTAACTGTCCCTTTAAAGCAGCAAAAGGAACAAGAGGAGAAGGAAACTTTAAGACCACCAGAAAATCTGAAATATAATAAATAAGTACTATAGTAATATTGTTTTAATAACACAAGAGGACAACTAAGGTAACTTTTAGGTTTAAATGGGAATCTTCATTCTAAAGTGAGGACAAAAAGGGTGACTACAAAAGGTAGTTATTAAAAAAACATGAACTGATTCAGATATAATTTTTCTTTCAACAAGATCTGAACATTTTAATTTAAAATTAACTAATAAATCACAATTCCATATTGCTTTTAGGATTACGTTGTTTAAAAATGACACATTTCAGAATTAACCAAAGTATATTTCTATTACAAGTTAGTTTATCCAAGTAAGTAAAGAATAAACCACAGTGTAGCTCCCTTAACCTAGGAGTCAGGTTTTAATGACAAAGTCCGTTGCCAGCAATGGACACGCAGGTAACCCTCAAAGAAGTTGTAAATACAAATCCCAGACTGCTTCTATAAATTGAAAAGACCTTTGTTGAGTCACAGGCATAAAAATGGGGCATTGGCACTAAATTGAAGGAATATGGTCTTTATGACATATGTATGGAAGGGCCTTCTAGAGTGGTCATGAGGATCACAGTCTTAACATCTAGTTGGTTTTCTATTTCATTGGTAGCATCTTCTTCATCATAATCCATCCAAACAACTATTTACACAGAATGTTCGAATCTGAAACTCAAGAGGCACTGTAGATTTTCATCAGAAATAAACCAGCTTGTTTCTGTAAGGTAATTTAGTAATAGCTGTAGGTGGTCAATATAATCCAAAGAAAAATGAAATCAGGAATCAAACTGGGGGGCGCCCGGGTGGCTCAGTCGGTCTAAGTGCCCGACTTCGGCTTAGGTCATGATCTCACATTTTTGAGTTCAAGCCCCACGTCAGGCCCTGTGCTGACAGCTCAGACCCTGGAGCCTGCTTCAGATTCTGTGTCTCCCTCTCTCTGTCTGTCTCTCTCTCAAAAATAAACGTTAAAAAAAACTTTTTAATTAAAAAAAAAATCAAACTGAAAACAGAAATCATTAAGTGCTCTACGTAAAAGTTCCACTAATTATTTTACACATTTTGTGAAAACCTTGCGTTATCAATAAAAAACAGCCATTCTATCCTCATATCTTAACAGATGTGATGAAAATGATAGGACATAAAATTCTATTAGTTCCCTTAATGTACTCAAAATTATTTTTATTCATGATTTGTACTACTGACGGCAAGTAGGTGGGAAGTTAATTAAGAGTGGTGGTGGGAACAAAATGCCTGAACCAAACCAGATTGTTTTCTTTAATGTGGCTTGAGGGACGACACTGCTTCCATAAGAAAATAAAAAACAAGGAGAGAACGGGGAGGGGAGAAGAGAGGGCACTCTCATAAGTAATGCTACAGGTCACAGACCTTCTTAAAATTTTTAAAATAAAAAAAGTATTGCTATCAACAAGGATATTTCATTTTTCTTCCTTTCTCTAGTTTTTTTTTTTACACATTATTTTTTTTGAAAAAAATCTAGAGTAACTCAACATCTCAAATAATCAATGAATTTATCAAGAACTTTGTCATGTTAAGTTCTCATTGCTAGTAAAATGTTGGTACCGGGTTGGGAACAATGTTTATAACAAATCTCCACAGTTTACTGGTCAGAAGCCGCATCTCTATGTAACCGTCATTTCTCTTACGTGAATATAATCTTACCTAATTATTTTAGAGTTCTAGTCTCTCGCTTTGTTTCTGCTAGCTCCGAGTATTTTTCTTCTTTAAATGGGAAAAAAATTAACTTTTAAATTCTGAAAATTCAATGGTTATTATATTATTTACCAAAGGGACAGGGGTGGAGTAGGGTGCGAGGGTTAATTAGAAAACAAACTAACTAAAATTACAACATATACAGAAACTTATTTCCAAAATGAAGGGAAAAAAGGGGGAAGGGCAAAGTAGCAATACCAACCAGTCACAAAGCCCAAGTTGGAACAAGAAAGAGCAAATAACTTTGGTTCCTAAAGCCCAATCTGAAGAGGATACACTTAGAAAGGAAATTAAATTGTAAGGTTGTATAGTCAATGGGATTCTTTTTCTGTCTCAATGATTTAGTTATAAATATAGATTATTAGTCTCTCTATTATACATGTAACAAATGCCAAACAACTCACTACCATGAAATTTCTAAAATTGACTTTCACATTATTAAAAAAGGTAAAAATCACATATTTTTCTTCCCTTCCTTCAGTTCAAATTATGAACTGAAATACTACATGTAATAATAGCTGGCCCTAACTTCTATACAAAGCTAAACGATTTTGAGCTCCTTTGCCAATATAAGGAACTACATAATTTTATTACATTTGCCTCAAATTTAGGCTTGAGAAAAATTTCTCAAAGCAACTCAAAAAGAGCATGTCAAGGGGAAAAAAGGCTATGGAGAGAAAAGACTAGCAGATGAAACAAATACTCTTGAAAAACTCGAATCTGCCATTCAAGTATTGAAAATACCCTCCCCCCCCCAAAAGGGACAATGAATGGGATCCATTACAGTGAAATCAGCAAAATTAAATGCAAATCTCAAGCATGATAAATGGCCCTGATGGGCTGTCTGCTGAAAGATGGCTAGTGATTCAGTCCATAATTCCTTTTGGACCCTATAAAGAAGGGATTCAATGGAAAGTTTTCATTCCGTTTTGTAATTTTCTCTTGGTTGTCTTCAGGAAGCAGTAGTTTGCTTTTTCCTCCATGTTATACAGACCATTTCTTTAAGCCCCAAAGAGTAATAATTTTCATATATTAAAAGATTTCTTTTAGAAAATGGAAGAAAGAATACGAGGCCACGGCAATGATGCTAACGGTTACTCTTCATTGCTTCTTTAGCTGCCATGATCAGTGGCGTCAAGCTGGACAATGGTTTGGCCAGTTTCAGGAAGGGATGCTGCCAGAAAGAGGGGGAAAGATGCATGAATGTCACTAGTTTAGAAGCTAAAAATTTCCTTTCAATTAAACCCCAAAGACTATTTTATGGATTAAAATTTATTTAACAAACACATATTTCAGTATGTGTATAAAGTCAACATAATCAATATATCACTTTTATAGTTGAAATCAGTCTTTTTAGTCTATTTAATATTATAAAAGCTCACCTAAATGACCCAGATACCCACACCAGCAATGGACTTGTCTGACAACTGACAGCATGCAAAAACTCATATACCTAATTTTAGTGTTATAGCTATTTTATTCCTAGCAGATACAATCCTAAACTGCAGCAGCTACAATGTTGCTGGTGATAAATGAAGAGCAAAATGGTAATTATTAACCCTATGTAAACTTTCTGTTGCTTACTCAAAAAAGTCAACTTTATCCAAAAATAGTATTATTTCCAAATTCACCTGTAACAATTCTTTGGCTGAACCCCTTTTCTCCACATCCATTTCCAAACAACGGTTTAAGAAATCCCGAAATATTGGGGAAAGTTTCTCTGGATTCTGAAGTTCTGGGGTTCCATTAGTTGCTATCAGGTACAAGGCCTAAAAACAGAAGAACATTTTTGACATACTTAAGGTAGCGCAACAAAGTGAGACACCACTTTATAAAAGTTTATGGATCTTTTGCTTAATTTTTTTTTTAAAGATTTATTTATTGGGGTGCCTGGGTGGCTCAGGCAGTTGAGCGTCTGACTCTTGATTTTGGCTCAGGTCATAATTTCAGCGTTCGTGAATTCGAGCCCCATGTAGGGCTGGCTCTGTGTTGACAGCTGGGACCCTGCTAGGAATTCTGTTTTCTCTCTCTCTCTCTCTCTGACCCTCCCCTGTGTGGTCTCTTGGGGCGGGGGTGGGGGGAAGACAATCACCAGAAACACTAAATTAAGGTTTAGTATTATCTGCCTATTTGTTTCATATATTCTCCCTTAGCTTTTATTATTTTTAAATGTCTATTTATTTATTTTGACAGAGCACACACGAGGAGCAGCAGAGAGAGAAAGAGAGATAATCCCATGCAGGCTCCACACCCTGTGCAGAGTCTGACAAGGTGCTCGATCTCATATGAGACGCTAAACCAACTGAGCCACTCAGGCGCCCCTTCCCTTTATTTTTAGATGTTGTATTCTCATTTCTTTTTCACATTTTTAAAAAAAGTTTATTTATTTTTGAGAGACAGAGCACAAGTGGGGGAGGGGAAGAGAGAGAATGAGACACAGAATCCAAAGCAGGCTCCAGACTCTGGGCTGGCACAGAGCCCGATGTGGGGCTTGAACTCATGAACTGTGAGATCATGACCTGAGCCGAAGTTGGATGCTTAAGTGACTGAGCCACTCCAGTGTCCCTCCTAATTTCTTTTTCAAAAATTAGCTTCATCTTTTTGGAGAGGGGTTATACTAAATGTAATACATATTGATAAAAGAACTATAATACATAAGGGTAGAAAGAAAAATGAGCACAATTCCAATATCAACATATAGCATCCATTTACCTTTCTCAAGCTTTTTTTTCTCAAGTCACATCAGATTTCAAAACAGGATTTCTTGAAACTTTGTTTCAGTTTATTATTTATTTATTATTTTTACTTATTTTTTAAAATTTACATCCAAGTTAGTTAGCATATAGTGCAACAATGATTTCAGGAGTAGATTCCTTAATACCCCTTACCCGTTTAGCCCATCCCCTCTCCCAAACCCCTCCAGTAATCCTGTTTGTTCTCCATATTTAAGAGTCTCTTATATTTTGTCCCCCTCCCTGTTTTTATATTATTTTTACTTCCCTTATGTTCACCTGTTTTGTATCTTAAAGTCCTCATATGAATGAAGTCATATGATATTGTCTTTCTCTAATTTCTCTTAGCATAATACCCTCTAGTTCCATCCACAG